AGCAGCCTTTCATTCCTGTGAAACTGCAGCCTCTGGCTCCCTGAGGCTGTAACCAGTGACACCAGTGAGGGAGCAGGCCTGAGGCACTGTAGGGTGTCCCAGAGATCCAGCAGGCCCTCTGACCAGCAAAGGGACACAAACTGCTTCTGTGCAGTCCCTTTGTCTCCTCCAGCCATCCAGCCCTGCTGGGAGAGGTTAGTGGAGGAAGCCAAGAGATCCACTTCAAAACCTGCACATTGCAATGAGGGTGGTCCCTGCTTTGCCTTATTTGCCTGGATATGAGGCTGCCTGAACTTGGCTGTAGAGCTCTCCTAGCCTGTCAGCCCTGGAGAATGCAGGAATATCTGTTGCAAGCCAGTCCAGTCCAGACTGTATCTTGAATTTAGCCACACCTCAAACCCCAGGTGTTTTGCTCATTGATTTGAATTGGGATCTGGAGATCATTGTCACCCAGTGTTTTCTGCCTTAATTTCTTTCCTCCAGCAGGACAGTAAATGCTCACTTGGTTTCTTGTTTTGTACTTAGGTTTTATAAAGTGAGATGGTTTTGAGGGTAAAGCATGAATTGTGTTGTCCTAGAGATAAAATTCTGTCTGAAGTTGCTTCATGCAGAGATAAGCAGGGAAGATTGAACTGGGACAGAGGAACAGTCCAGGCAAAAAAAGCAACTGTAGGAAAGGGCAAATAAGCAGCTTTGAGGGCTTTGTTGTTTATACTGTTCAAAACAGTCCCCACTAACTGGAAAATGGCTCAGTTTATCAGGTAACGACCTTGGAGATGAAGGCTGCAGTTACCTGGTGGAAAACCTTCCCCAGATCTCAATTTCAAAGCAGCTGGAGTAAGTGTTGCCTTGTACAAAACCAGATTGCTCCTTTTGTTGTGCTTGTCAAGGACCATGCAGAGATGCTCAGCAGGGATCAAGGAGGCAGAGGCCTCACCCAGCTACAGAAGCAGCTCTAAGGAAAGGACTTGGCTCCTGAGACTGTTCAGGCTGAAGTTGGTCACTTGCTCAGAGCATCACCCATGGAAACTGGTCTAAATGCCTCTAAAGTGCCCTTTCATTTAAAGCCCTTCTCAGAACTCGTGGTCCTGTGTGTTTCCCTCCATGCCCCCTCTGCAGAGCAGTGGGTTCAGGGATGCAGAACCTGCTGACCACTGCCACCAGAACAGTCCTGTGTGATTGCAGTGCCCAGCTAATTGCCTGTTCTCTTTTCCTTAGTCTCAGTCAAAACTGCCTCTCTGTGAATGGCATCTTCAGTCTGCTGAAGTCAGTAAACACCTGCCAGAAGATGATGGAGGTACAAGTCAGGTATGTAGGTCTTGATTAACCCCTGAGGTTAATCCCAAGGTCCAAGTCAGAGTTAAATTCTGAGATGTTCCTGAAGTCATCTCAGAAGGGGGGTGGGTGAAGAACATGTCCAGAGATGTTTACCAACACTTGTATTTGGTGATATGCTCCTGTAAGCTGCTTGTATCTGAGCCATCAGCTGGAATTTGGGTGGGTACAGAACTGTGCTCTTCCCATGCATTAAAGCAGTTTTAGATTCTTTCCTGCTCCCTACCCTGGTCAGTTTTGGAGGGAGGGTCTTTGTGGAGTATGATAACTGGTGCCATCTCCAGGAGTGGAGTTGGAAGTTGTCTTACCTTCCCTTGGTAGCCATCCCAGAGTTCAAATGTCAAAATTTTGTCTGCACTTTCTCTAATGGTTCAGAGAAACTGGGTCATCTGATACTGCACAGTTTGACCCAAGCAGGATTTTAAACCAATGGAGATTATTTTTCACTCTCTTTGGGAGTGTTTTGAGTGAGTGGTGTCACTAAAGATTTTGAAGAGTGAAATCAAGCATTCTTAAAACTAGAAGTCATGTAAATAACCCAGGTGTGACACTAATTGATTCCTTCTCTTCTTCACAGCCTTTGTCATGGGACTGCAGTCCTGAGCTTCACAGGAGACAGAGAATTTGCTTCCCCTCTTCCTGGGTAGAGTGTGGCTGCACAACTGGGGTTTTCTCAGCATCTTGTTTAGTTCTTATCTCCTTTTTAGGTACCAAGGGTAACACTTCACCTCACAGCAGTTCTTTCCCCTTTGAAGGAAGTGCTTTCTCCTGGTTTTCTTGGACACTTTGGAAGTTGTCCACTGCCTCCCATAGTGTTTGATTCTTCTATGTCTCTGTGACATGTTTCACCCACAGCATCCCAAGCAAAGCAGGCTGTTTGATGACAGCTCTGCTTCCTGATAATACTGAACAGTAAAAAAAGTGAACCCCACACCTCCAAACCAAATTCCAACAAGATTCACAGATCCCTGTGTGTTAAAACCATCTAGTTCACTGCACTGTGCACTCTGGATCTTGGTAGGTGCTCCTAAATCAGAATACATTTGGAGTTTTATTTGTACCCCCAGAAAGTTATGGGTCAAACCAGCTCAACCCAAATCTTTTGTTTGAGAAATGGTTTCTTGTTGCTCCAGGAGCTGTAGGTTCATTTATTTGTGCCCTGCTTGTCCATGGACTGAGCTCCCTGCATTTCCCACAGCACAGCTGTACCCAGGTGGTGAGGGTGGGGAGGGACAGTAGGGCTGTCATGGGATGCAGCCCAGCTCTTGTGGCTGTGCCTGAAAGAGAGTGACAGCCTGAGGCACATCATCTGTGACTCCTTTAAAGCACTGGGTGGCACTTCAAACTCAGATCTTTTAGGATTTGGATGTTCCATTTATTTATGAATAGTCAGGTTTTTGCACAGACATGGACTCTTTTCACTAAACATGTTCAGGCAAAAGCTGAATCCTCCACCAAACTGTAGCTTAGATGAGAAATCTGTCTTTCCTTTTCTCCCCAGTTGCCTCCATGCTCAAGCAATCAGTTAATCACTGAAAGAAAGAGGAGTTGCCAGGGTAGCCCAGGGACCT